ACTGGCTCTTTATAGTCCTGCAAGAGGGTACAGTTCACGTTACATTTACATGTGACATATTTCACATGACTGCCTAGTATTTGGTTAACTAGCCATTTGTCATTTTATCTGATTGTGTCTGAAGTGCTCAACAGGTGAAGATAAAAGAAATTCTCATGTTAACAAACTTTAACTATACATAAAACAAATTAGGCCGGTGTGTGTGTTTTTTAAGGATAACACCACAATTTTCCAGAGGTCTCTGGCAAGTGAGAGTGCACCTGGGAACACAAACTCATTGATAAAAAACAGATATGAAAATATCATTGGCTTCAATAATTAGGGGTAGATGCTAAGCTGGGAGGTTCACTCTCACAGATCTAAAAGGCATCAATGGCTTAGAACCAGAAATACTTAATATGAAACATCCATCTGCACTGCACCTCTAGAGGGCTCCATCATTTCTTAAAAGTCCAGAATTTCTCTCTCAGGGCTAAACTGCTGCCACATAGGATAGGTAGCCCTTGGGTGGGGAGGCATGGAACTACACTGCCCCAGGGGACACATGGGTGGCATTGTGCTTTGGCTATTTTAAAATGTATTTTTCCCTGTAGCCTAAAAATATTTTAAGAGTAACCAGAAGAAATTGTATTTTTCTGTAGTTTTGTGGGTTGCAAAAAGATGCATATTGGGTCTTTTATTGTAGCACTGGCTTAGCTGACTGGCTTAGTTGAGCAATCCCAAATTAAGACAAGATATGAGTGAGTAATTACTGAACAAACCCAAGCATGTAACTCCTGAAACAATTAACTATTATGACTGTGTTTATAGTAAATAAGGGAGATAGACACTAACTAGTGTGGTTATGTTTATAGTAAACAATGTAGTCAGAAACACTTTGAACTGATAAGCATGCCTTATGCAAGCTGCAAAGCAATTAATCTTTACATACAAGTATAGATGTTGGTAGCTAGGATAGGTGGTGTGTGGTGTGACAAGAGTTGGAATGATGGTATCCCTCTGTACCTAAACCCCTTGCATCTAGGCCTGACTAGCATACGCAAAGAGCAGTTACATGCCCAGGGCCGGCTCCAGGCACCAGCTTAACAAGCAGGTGCTTGGGGCGGCCAAGGGAGAGGGGCGGCACCTGCGGCAATTTGGGGGCGGCAGGTCCCTCACTCCCTCTAGGAGCGAAGGACCTGCCGCTGAACTGCCGCCGCCGATCGTGACTTCCCCCCCCTCCCCAATTGCCGCTGCCGATCGCGGCTTTTTTGTTGTTGTTGTTGCTGCTTGGGGCGGCAGAAATGCAAGAGCCAGCCCTGTACATGCCTAATAAAGTAATCTGAGTGACAAGCTGTCTTCTGGATCCCAGAGAACTGGATGAAGTGTTCTCCCAGAACTTGACAAGGTGTTCTGGAAAAAAGAAGTGGAAAAAGCTCAGAAGGCATCCCAACATATATAACAATTTGGTGATCAAAAGGACTATAGTCACAGAAGTTAAATTCACCATTAGTTCTTTCTTGTTGATTTGGTGGGAACAATTGAGTAGAATCAGACAGAAAGAGGTTAATGTGACTTTGGTTAATATTTTACTACTTGGACTGATTGAGAGGTAGTAGGGAATTATAAATGCATAGCTTTTTAAGGCTAAAGGGGCTCATTGGGATCAGCTAGTCTGACCTTCTGCATAATGCAGGCCACAAATTTAATAAAAAATTCCTAGATCAAGCCCAAAAACCTGTGGTTGAACTAAAGCTTATCTTTTAGAAAGAGAGCAAATCTTAGCCAAAATGTGGAAGGGACTCAGAGCAATAGGGAAATAGCAGAACAGACCAGCTGAAATGATACAGCAGATATAAGAAGGGCGTGAGTCAGGTTTTTTAGAGAGATAATGGCTGTGTCTTCACTGAAAAAAAAAACCAAAAAACCCCCCAAAACCTGAAACAGGTTTTACCAATAGCTATCTTTTACAAGATATCTATCTTGATGGAAAAACATCTGTTCTTGCAGTGAAGACAAAGGCAATATGAATTTCAAAGAGATGCATCATATCGTTGTCTCCCACTAAAACAAAGAGTAATCAAATTCCACAGTCTTAGTAAACACACAGAAAAGTAAATATTAAGAAAATGTATTAAACTTAAAAAGAGACTCTGGAAGATGGAAAGCTTAACAATATGAACGAATGACAGCCAGAAGTTGAGAAACCGTGAGACTCATTCTCTCACCAGGAATTGATTGGTCACAGGCAACTAACACACAAGCCTGGTTACATCACAAGAACAGTAAGTTGTCAGAGAGCAGGCTCCGCTTTCCAGCAGTAAGCCTCCAACTGCCAACAGCCAGTACATGTTACGATGATGGCTATAGATTAAAAAATATATACCTAGCTGGTCAAACTCACCTAACTTTTAAATCCAAACTCAAACTAAAAAAACCTAGAGAGCTTCTAAAACACTGAGCTGGCCAGCGCTATAATCTGACCCCCAACGTACCTACACAGGGAACAGAACTTTGATACTAGAGGAGGTCTTCAGTCTAGCAAACAAAAGGTATAACAAGATCCAATGGCTAAAAGTTGCCAACATCAGGCTAGAAATAAAGTGTAAGCTTTTAACAGTGTGAGTAATTATTAACCATTGGATCAACGTACCAGCTGTGGTGGAGTCACCATTACTGGAAATTTTAAAATCTAGATTGGATGGTTTACTAAAAGACATGCGCTGGTTCAACCACAGCTATTGGCCTTGAAACTGGAATTAATTCAGGGGAGGCCTATGGCTTGTGTTATGCAGGCGATAAGACTTGATGGTCACAAAAGTCCCTTCTAGCCTTAAAAAGCTATGAGTCTTTTGACCTACAATTTCTACCATGGATGCCACTAAAGTAGGCAGCTAAACCCACATGGAGGAACTCAAATTAGATGATGCAAGAGGAATTTAGATGCCTAACATGCGTCCAAATAGGACCATTCTGACCCTGATGTAATAAAATAGCCTTCTGGTGATATGCAAAAACAGTTATAAAGACTGGTATTCTTTGTGCCTATCTCCCATCTGCCTTTCAAAGCAGACTAAGGCATTTGAACATCCAATTACCAAGCCAAGTTCTTTAGGCATTGTGGGGGGGGGGAAATCTAAGCTTCACTTACTGTTTAACGCAGTAAGCACCCAGTGTAGAAGTGTGCACACAACTACACACACACACACACACGTGGACACACAAAATTTATTTTCTTGGAAATTTTAAATCACAGGCACTGGGAATTCTGTAGGTTCTTCAGCTACCATGGAGATGGGTGCAGTACAAAATCTTATCTTTGAAAAAAAGTTTCTTTGTAAATAGGCTGCTGTACAGATTTTAGTGAATTTCTTAGCAGCAGTGTTTCATCATAGACTGTATGAGATGCCGCTTTATTTTTATTATTCAAAATACTGTCAATGCAGAGAGCAGCACAAACTGCTTTTAGTATTTAAAAATAAACAACTTGGTGTAGTTATGAGGGTCGGGGGGGGGGGGGGGGGTCAAGCCTCCTCCCTGTTGCTTGCTAGTTAGAGGGTCTTCTCTCCCACCCCCACCCCAACGGTAGCGACCTAGGTTCTTTGTTGTGTTGCCTGGTGCCACCAACCAAGGTGAATTCTAGGACACAAGCAGATGCTGTCCCTTGGACTAATACTCCTGTTCTTACCAAGGCTTCTGACCCAGCATATAAGAAATAGAATTCAATATTGCCACCCCAAACAAATTCAATGACACACACACAAAGAACAGTATAACAAAGGGGGACTTTATTGGCGACAGGAAACAGAGACAGAAAAACAACTCTCTTTTGAGCGAGGGTGATGCCTCGGAGAAGGGGCAGGGTTGTGGGGGTTAAGTGTGTTCGGTTTTCTGCAATTAGAAAGTTGGCAAACCTAGTGTGGAGCGGGGTTGGGTGGTGCTCCCTCCCCCATAGGAGTTGGCCTGGGCCCCTCCGCGCCCCCTCCCAATGTTGCATTCCTAGCTATTTAAAAAGCAATACAATAAACACTAGTTCTGGGTCTGTATTATAAGAGAAATAATTTGGTTTACTTGCTCCCACAGTTTGGGGATCATTTCTCCATCCACCCGCTGGCCTACAACAATGCTCCAGGCCCTCCAGACACCTTTCCCCAGCCTGCTTAAGTCTGAGGCAGGAACAGAATAGACTGAAAAGCCACTAGAGAGGTTTGTGATGGAGTCAGTAATCAATTGTTACAGGCAGTTTGCTGAACCCACAATGAGACATGACCGCTAAGCCCCTCAGGCAGAGGATAGCCTGACTCAGAGACAAAGGGTCTACTGCCTAGGTCAGGCAGCTACAAACCTGTGGATACCAGTATCCTGGGAGGCACAGACCCAGCTGGTGTTGAGTCCCAGGTGAGACCATAGGGCCAGGAGCCAATCTAGCCTACTCAGGGGTGAAAACACTTTACGAGGGCCCTATTGTTGTCTTTAAGCCAGCCAATGGTTGCAGCACTACTACAAGAGCTGAAGCAAACAGTATCTCACCCTGACAGATGGTACAAGCAGGTTACAGCTCCCCAAGACTCAGGCTGGGACCACCTTCCAGTCTGGGACCACTCTTATCCAGACATTCTTCCAGGTATTGAGCTTGAGGCAGGGGTGGGAGGGAGGGAGAGGCCAAGTGATGATGTCACTGTCTCTCTTCTTCCAGTTTGCTGCAAAGATCATTGCTATGATGCGGGATAGTCTGCCCCATGGCATATTTGCCTCCTCGGAGAAGTCTCTAGGTTATGTGTTGATGAGCCATTAATGCCGAGTAGCCATCAAAGGCCACATCTTTGGTTGTGGGTGTTCCTAACCTCACAACATATTTCTGTAACACATGTAGTAATACTTCATAACTTCATATACAATGATAGTACATAAAATCCAACAGGTTATTATTGTTCAACAGATCAAGACCGATACCTCATAAGGTATACTTTGTACAAAACATACAGTTATATGACAGTAGTGAATATGGGGGTTTCAGGGTGCCACTTTGAGGTACAGAGGGTCACAGGTTTGATGTGAAACAAGATCTTTTTCAATACTTTTGCATTGCCAGCAAACCAAAAAAATCAGTTTTTTCAGCCGGCTGAAATAGGTGCTGTTACAAGCTCCACCTATACTGTGTGTGTCTGTTTGTCTGCCTGCCTGAGTTTTGGAATTACAACAGTAAAATCATCTCAATTCATGGTTTAATGTCTCCTTTACTGTCTTCATGTGAAATAAAATGAAGTAGTCTTTAAAATGAACCATATTTGTAGGCCTGTTACACCATCTCAAAAAACTACCAGTGCTAGTTATTCTGTAATAATATTACAGCAATGACATAGTATTTCATTAATGAGATTAAAAAAACATGACTTTTGTGCCAACACAGTTTATTCCTTGCTAGAGATGTTATACAGAGAATCATTCATTCTTGCATGGATTACAATGTAGCATCAACATGAATTGCAATGAAAGGATCTTCAGCCTGGTTACTAATCTGGAAGTTAGCAGTGCCGTCACCTACAACCTGCACCTGTATTCCTGTACAGCGGTCACCTTCCTTTTGCCCAGAAATAACATCACAGTAAATTCCAGCAGGAAGGCCAGTTTGCAAATTCACATTCAAGCTCCTATGTATAAAAACAGATTGAAGAGGAATAAGCGGTAATTCAGACTCTCCAGTACTTCTCTTTTATTATAAAGCGTCATATGTTTGGCCAGCCAGGTGGCTTTGGGGATAGTGTTCTGCACTACAATATCCGACACTTGGGGTTTACTCTTGGGGCTGGTCTTTCAGTCCCTGATACAGCAGAGCCTGTGTGTGTTAGGTAGGGAGCAACATGAGCCTACAGTGAATACTAAGGCCATTGTATGTACTGTCTATATCAGGGATCTCAAACACAAATCATCACGAGGGCCACATGAGGACTAGTACATTGGCCTGAGGGCTGCATCACTGAAACCTTTTCATACAACGATACAAAAGTATAGTCAAAAAACGAAGAGTAATATAGTATGCTATTAAAAGTCAATGTATTAACTTGTTAAAAACTGTAATGCGAAGAGGGGTTTTAATAAAATATAAACACCTGTAACTATTCCTTATATGGTTAGTAACACTGATGATGATCTACACCAGGGGTCTCAAACACACGGCCCGCGGGCCGTTTCCTGCGGCCCGCCATAGGTGCCGACTCTCTCCTGCACTGAGTAACCCTTTCCACCCCCCCTGGTCACAGCGCAAAGTCAAGGGGGAAACTGAGGCTCGCCTAGGAATTATAAAAATGTTACAGAAAATTTCCACTTTGTCACAGACACTGTCCAGTGTCCCAACGGAGAGACCCCGGGCAATTGGGGAAAAGAGGGGAACCTCTGGGTGCCCAGCACCCCTAACAGAGAGACCCCTGGGCGATGGTGCCTGATGCCTCTAACTAACAGTCTATCACAGGGGTCTCAAACACACTGCCCCACCCGTACCCTGCCTCTTCCCACCCCTTCCCCAAAGTCCCTGCCCCAACTCCACCCCCTCCCTGCCTCTATTCCAACTCCTTCCCCAAATCCCCGCCCCTGCCCCTCCTCTTCTCCGCCTCCTCCCCATAGAGAGCAGCATCCCCACTCCTCCCCCCTGGGAGTCCTAAGTCCTAAGTGCTGTCAAACAGCTATTTGGCAGCGGGAAGCGCTGCAGGTAGGCGGAGGAGCGGGGACGTGGCACGCTCGGGGGGGGGGGGGGGGGGGGGGAGCTTGGCTGCCAGTGGAGTTGGTCCCTATGGCGGGCCGCAGGGAATAACTCTGCAGGCTGCATGCGGCCCACAGGTTGCGTGTTTGAGACCCCTGGTCTATATGGCCTCAACGGGCCCATGCAGCCCTGCTAGACATAAAGGTTCCAGTTTGAAATACCATCAAGCCTCGCCTGTGTAGGCATGAGTAAGCAGAGGTTATCCGTCTACTCCCATTCACAAAGGCTTCATATATTTAAAATTCAATAATATAGGCTGGTGAACATAAATTATTCAGACTCATTTTTCATTTGACCTGGACATTTAAAGAATTAGCTTTTGATTATCTTTAGAACGATCCCACTTCTGAAAGGGCAAAAATTAATTAAAATTGAAGCCCCATTTCATCTGGGATAGACACGAGTACAAATGTTAATCTGCTGAAGTATCTTTCAGACAGTTTCTCTTTCATGCTCTCATGAATACAGTTCTATCTGACAGCTCCTCCTGCTTTTGCATGAAGGAGATATCTACAGTGTACTTTACACCCACGAAAGCTTATGCTCCAATACGTCTGTTGGTCTATAAGGTGCCACAGGACTCTTTGTCGCTTTTTACAGATCCAGACTAACACGGCTACCCCTCTGATACTTTACACATGAAAGACTCAATTCTACTCTACTTGCTATATTTACTAGGATAAACTATGCCTCTGTGTGGATATAATTTCCACAGCAAGTCAATGGGGACTGTGAATACAAATCAGAAGACAGAATTAGACCCCAAATAACTAGAGAAAAAAACATGAAGACAAATGTGTAGGATATTATCTACAGGGACAGTAAATGCAGGTATTCTTGTCAGTTTCCAAAAGTTTAGAGTCTTCCTTATTATTAGGCTCCTATTGTTCTTTTTCTTCTCCCAAGTCCCTCCCTCTCTACACACCCAAATTACCTTTTCTGACAGTCCCATTGAGTCATCTCAGCAGTTTTGGCACTCTCCATTCGAATCAGGAGGGCTCTTTTCCACCAATATCATATTGTTTTGGGCTACCTCAGCATCACAGATTCCCTACATCTCTGTCTGCACCTCTGACTCTACAGAAGTCTAGAAAAGCACAACAATAACCCTAACATGAAGTGCCAGCCCTGCTGAGACTCTGCCAGAAGCTTTGTGGAATATCCAGAAAGGAAGTGGGCCTGGTTAGACACAGAAAACCCTTTGTATAAGGCAGGAAGACACTTAAATGAAGTGAGTGATTCAAACCTCAACACACACAGAAGATTGAGAACAATTCATATGCAATGCAATTCTGAGAACTTCCTGACTGCTGTGCTCCTCTAAAACATCCAATCCAATCATTAACTCTTCTCACCATAAAAGAAAGCTGAAAACTCCCAGCTGCCAGCCCTTTCTCAAACCTATCCCAGCTTGACCCACATTACTCTCAGTCAATTCTCCACCCATTCCTCACAGCCATGTCTGCTAGCCTATTTAGGCCCAGGCCCAACACCAATAGTGGCCAAAGTACCTCTCAGATCTGCATAGTCATGCATTCCTCACTGATCAACCTCTTCCTGCAGGTTTCAAGTCCAATGACCAGGAACCAGCAGCAGAATATTGTGTTGCTTAAGGAGCTAATGCTGGGTTTTGAAGAATGCTTTTGGGAGTGGGAAGATGGTAGGTTTGGAGTTGCATTACGTAAGAGCCTTGATCTGTCCCACCAACTAGTTGCCACAGACTCTATAGCCAGTAATAGGCTCTACAGCTTGACCAGGGGGTAACATTTTTTCTGAAGCTATTCACTCCTTCCACTTACCAGTCATCATTATTAAAGACGATGAATCCTCTATTACCACGCCCAAAAGCCACTTGATTGCTGTCATTGTCCCACCAGTTTGAGAAAGGCTGGCCATCAACCACATTACGGAAAATAACCATGTTCCTGAAAATACAACCAATGGGCTTGACTTTAATTAAAATATCCCCACATCAGGTGAAGAATATATTGGGAATTGCTGTTTGCAGTGTCCTACTTTATTTGATGCCATCTATGTTCACAGACCCAGTCGTTGCCACAAGTGGAGTCTGGATTAATTGTAACAGGTTTGGTTGATCCATCCTCAAAGCTTGGTGGTCCCACCCAATCATTAATGTCCTTGTTATTAAACACAAAGTTATACAGATTAAACTTTCTATCTGGGGAGACAGCTCAATGAAGCATACAAGATGACACAGGGATAATTAACAGCCTAATGGCCTACAGACTTGTTCTCATTGATCATAAACCTACCTTTCCATTCTGAAAATATCTTGGCCAACGGTAACTTGAGATAACACGTGTAAATCCATAAGGATGAGCAAGCATAAAGCCAAGTGCCATTTTATATAGTCTGTAAACCAAAGAGTAATGAGACACATGAAGATACACTATCTTTTTTTGGGGGGGAGGGGGGAAATGGGGAGAGGGTGGGAAGGAAGAAAGAAGAAGAAGAAGAAAGGGAACTCTGTTGGCTGTATGAAGCTACCTGGAGTCCCAGAAGGTTAGAACAGAAGCTCCCCCAGCACCATGTCCCCTTTGGGTGTCATGATTATCCACAAAGACAAGGGCTATGTCAGAGGGCATAAAACCCCAGCCTTCTCCCCAATTCCTAAACAAACAAACAAACAAACAAACAAACAAAGAGTCAAACACATTGAAATTAGTAGTTCAAATATTGCAGGAATCTAATGATTAATTCAAATTATAGATATATTACTTTAAATAGGCCATCTTTTCTCCATTCCATTTGCGGATTACTGTACCCAGTTTGGCACCATATTTGAATTCAGTCACTCGGCCAGTTCCAAAGTATTCACTGCTTTTAATTGGCTCTCCACCCAAGTCAATTACCTAGTAGAAGAAAGAAAAGCCACTATTATAGTCCAATCACCTGGTTAAAAAGATACAATTCATAGACCTAAATGCTGCTTTAAGGGAAGAATAAATCAATTGACTGCATTAAAACAGAAATAAGTTTTACTTACTAAATTCCATTTATTGCTTCCTAAAGCATCCCAAATTCAGGTGCAATTGAAAAACATTAAAAACCTCTGGTCTCCTCTCCCCCACTCCCAAATATGTCATGACCATGAATAGATTAGTAATGAAATACATGACCCAGTCCTGAAACTATCAGTTTGACAATAAAAAGAATCAAATGAGAAGTTTGACTTTAAAGGGACTTTAAAGGTTTAGGTCCAAAATATTAATTCACATTTAAAATTTTAAATTGGTAGAGATTGTCTTCTGGTTTAAAAACAGTCATTTACTGATAAAAGTCATGTAACAATATTGCTGAGACTTGGGGGGGAAATCTTACAAAGTTATTTATTTATACTTTCTCTATTGGTGCTGCAGAAGTTAACTTACAAAATTCTGAGATCTATATATATTTTTAATGATTCTATGAATGATGATGAATAGGGAGTGGAGAAAGTAAATCAAAAGAAAATGCATGAAAGAATTAATGTACACATTTTAAAGTTTTTCACTGAATAAGCCAAGTAGGCTTGGAAACGTAAAACTTTAGTAGCAAAATAGGAGACTGGGGGCTGGAATATGAAGTACTAAAGGTTAGAATCCATAGGAACTAAAACTTTTGGGGCCTGATTCTCCATTCTTTTTTCATTTTGTGTGATCATTTAGACATCTAGAATGTGTATGCACATGTAAAATCATGAATAAAATCCTGGCCCCTAGAAGTCAATGGGAGTATTGACATTGAAGTCAATGAGCCAGGATTTCACCTCAAGTATTTAGATGGTTACTTGATTGCAAACAAAAGGATCCATTTGGGCCCATACAAATTAGAAAGTGGAACATTTTGACCTTAGTTCTTTGCATTAATTTGTAGATAATTCAGTCTTGCAAGCTGCTGAACACTTTGGTCCTGATACAACAAAGCACTAATATACATGCAGGGCCAAGTCCATACTGTATTTGCATAAAAGAACCCATTTCTCCGTAGAGTGAAACTAAGAAAACTAGATTACCTCTTGGTAAATGAAAGGTCTCGATCCATTGGAAAACCATGTTTTAGTTAGATTTTTCAGTTTGTCTAAAAATGCTGTCATGTCCCCAGGCCACATATGCTTGGAAGCATCAATTCTGAAGCCTGCCACACCAATATCAATAAGTTCGTTCATGTATTCAGCAACTTTCGAGCGCACATAGTCCTTCTCCAGGGCAAGATCAAGAAGACTGACAAGGCGACAGTCACGGACCTGTTTAAAAAATTAGCTGGGACACTGATTTAAGACAATTTTCATCCCACGTGCTAAATGAAATGTCCTGAACACAGTTCTTGCAAAGCCATTGTTGAAAAAAGCACAGAATAATATAGAATTACACAGGGCCACCCCCAGAAATTTTCCCCATGATATGCACTGTCAGTCCCTGTGGAGCATGCCCAGGGGAGCTGCTGGCACCAGCACCTCACCCATGCCGTGCTCAGCCACCATCTTCCAGCCTCGCCCACCAGGTGTTGTGTCACTCCCCATCCCTGAGAGGGGACATGGGCTGCTGAAAGTGGGGTGAGGAAGGGCAAGCCCCTGTGAAGGCGTCCTGGTGCATGAGCTAGCCCCATGACAATGACAAGGAGGATCAGTGCTGGCCATCCCACTGCCCTGCGTACCCATTCAGGGTGGTCCCACAGCCTCTCCATCATGGGGCCAAATCTGAGTGGCACTGTGACCCCTGTGCACCAGGTTGCAACACCTCTCAATTTTGGCCCCACTGCTCCCCTCCCCTACATGACGGGGGGCTGGCAGGAACAAACATGAGTGCCCAGTGGGCCAGCCAGCACTACTCTTTGTTGTCACTGCCAATGGTACACACTGTGCATAACATACATATGGCTGCAGGTGACACTGGGATTACATATACTAGACTTTACTGATATAGGACTTGATTCTTTACTACTTTGCATCATGTGTAGTTGTTTATATCTGTACAAAGACTAATTGCATTTTACAACCACTCTGCATAGGTGTAAGTGACTTAGGAAAATGCCAGCTGAGAATCAGTCCATTAATTCTATACTCATAGGGAGGTTTGGAAGGATTAGATTTTTATGAGCAACTCTCAGTACACATTGATTTCATCATACACACACAAATCAATGAAAAAATATTTCCCCCAATAAAAATTGAAATTTACAGGTAGCACAGTAAGAAAAATGCTGCTTGAGAACTTATTGGTATTTGATTTTTGTTTTAATGATTATAAAGCTTGAACTTTTTGAATCTCAATGTGGACTATCATTAAAAATTATATGACCTTTCCCATAATTTCCCACACCTATGAAAATTTAAAATTAATACAAATATAAAAAATGCTTAAAACAATTTTTGCAGCTCTGACGATTTAAATCGATAAAAATATAAAAAGGCTTAAAAATAAACAACAATATGATCCATCAAAATTATACAAAATAAAAATCAAATTCTGCCAAACCTACTCATGTGATTTTAATACAGCTAGGAGGAGTAATCTGGCTTAATATGTCATTTTTACTTCAGCTCTAATATACAGATAAAAATATTTCTCTTCAACATCAACTACATGCTACTTTTCTCTTATCATGGGAGTGCATGAGAGATTTTATTATAGCTGGATTCATAATACAAAATTTTGCCACAGATTTTATTTCACAATTTTAAACAAATTCATTTTGACGGTGTTCACGCCCATTTTTGTGTTTGCTTCCTGTAAAATTTGCTGATGTGAATTTTCAGTGAAATAGAACATTTTAAAAGAGTATTTTAAAATATTCACAGAAAAAGAATGGTTTCCTATGGCAATCCTAGTGTACTTCTGAGAGGCCATGTGTAATCAAGTGTTTGATCTCTGTATTACAGTGAAGAGGTGAATAATAATGACACTTTAGCATCTTTCATCCTGAATGATGCCCAATCGCTTAATGAATTTTACAATCTCTTTCCCCCTCCCCCAGCCCTCAAGACAGGGACAAAGGAAACACAGTAAGAGAGATATACACAGGAATCCTTTCATATACCATTGAAATGGGGTAAAAGATGCTGTTTAGCAATGCACAGCACCACTACCTAACTGTTCAGGGCAGGGGGGTGAAGAATATTGCTTCCAAATGAAGCTGCCATGGGAATTTAGGCAATGGAATGCATAATGGAATTTGGTGAATACAGCTGATGACCTAAGACCCCTCACTGGGAAAAGGAGCCATTAAATACCAACTAATTACAAGAGGTCAAGTCAGTTGTGTGGCTCACCCATAAAGGAGCACAAGGAAGAATGCTAACTACTCACACTTTTCTGTATTACCCTGGGATTTGCATGCATATTTAGTGATCAGGCTCAGTCCTGATTAGCTTTTAAGAGGTAACAATATCCTTTGAAATGACCAGCATGGCCTTGATTTAGCAAGGTACTTAAGCACATTCCTAACTTATAATTATAAGAGTTATCCCACTGATTTGATAGGACTATCCACATGCCTATGCATCCGAAGAAGTGGGTTGTAGGCCACGAAAGCTTATGCTCTAATAAATTTGTTAGTCTCTAAGGTGCCACAAGTACTCCTGTTCTTCTTGCGGATACAGACTAACACGGCTGCTACTCTGAAACACATGCTTAAAGTATCTTGCTGAAATGTAGCCTATTGGTTACGTAATTCTCACTACCCCTACTAATTAATTAATGGAGAGACTATTATGTGTGAAATATTGCTAAAGCTGGGCAAAAATTTTCTATCAAACATTTTTTCAAGGAAAAGAATGAATTTGTGTCAGTTTTGCCAAATTGTTTGGGGGCGGGGGGGGCTGAGAAATTCCTAACATTTCAAAATTTCATTTTGACTTTTCTTTAAAAAAAAGTATCAATATTTTGGTTTGAAACTATTTTTATTTCAAAATACCCCTTTAATTTAATTTAAGCTTTTTTAAACGTAAAACGTTAAGATGGAAACTTTATTATATTATTATTTTGAAATTGCCAATGAACTGAGAAATCAGTTATTCACCCATCTCTGAGTTTTTCCTGTTCTGAGATTTTTATGTGACAGCATAGCCCTGTAAAGAAGAGGGTGGGAATAAGAATAAACAGGGAAAATATATTTTACAATTCTAAATTTACCTGAGTCACATCATGGTAATTTTCAATGTCTCCACTTCCAGTTTTACATTTACCATCGTTAAAGTCCCAGGCTGAGTATGGCACAGCAGGAAAATCTCTGGTCTCTGCATTGAAATAGCTTCCACAAGTAGAACTATTACCAGAGCCAGCACCAGATCCACACATGTGGTTGACTACAGTATCCACATAAATATGAACCTAGAGAGCAATGTTTGCGTTTCAGTTTAATAAAGCCAGTACCTGAGTGCCATTGACTAAACAGCACTTATTGTCTCATTTACATTCCCCACCCTTTTGACTCCCCACTTTTTTTTCTTCTAGAGCTTTTTCATGTGAGCAAAGTGATAGAATATTATTTGTTCTAAATATCGAGCAGCGAGCTTACCATTCAGTGATATGCAACTCATTTGAAAGACCAGACTATTTGGGAGAAAATTAGATTATCTCTCTTTATAACTCTGATCTCCCCATATCTTCCCTCCTGAGTTATCTAGTGCCTCACTCTGATTTTGACTGCTAATGACCACATACCATCAGTCAGACAGCAGTCAAGAGCATGTGAAGTAAATAAGTTAAATTTAAGCATCCATCTTAAGTTCTATCTTCAAAGAATAATGACTCCAATTTTGCTAATTGAGAGTTTTTCAATTATACTAAATTTTAAAAATAGGCACCTGTTGAAAAGCAACTATTTTTCCTGATTGCAAACTTTAAAAAACAACAACAACAACAACAACAACTAAAAAACCCAACAACCCAAAAAACAATTTTTGCTGGGTTTCTCTTTAACAGTACTTTCTTGGGTTGAGCTATTGCTGCATGATGAAGCTTTTGATTGACCTAGTCTTCCACTGCGAAGGCGTGAAAAATGACTTCAGTTGAGAACTGGCACCTTATCTCCTTGGCATTATTGAAGAATATTTTTTTTTCCCCTTGGGAACAGGACAGAGGGCAACCTGAAATCTCTTACATCTCCCCACACTGTTTATATAGGAGGAATTTCAAGTCTCTTACTCCAACATTGTTGCATCTGGTCACCATGTCTTTAAATTCATCATAATTTCCAGATCGTGTACATAGATTGTAGCTGATTGGCTGGTATCTTTCCCACCAGGGTCTCCATGGGTTAGTAATGACAATATTTTCATTTGGAGGAGATATCTGTGAACAAAGTGATGTCATTTGAAAATAAACTAGTAATTACTTATGTACTTGTTCAGCGTTGTAAAAGACATATAAAGACAGAGGGTCTGAGGCCCCGTCTGTGGCAAGGAGTTGGCTCTACCAGAACCCAATCCAGGGAGATGCTCAGCACTCTCATCTCCGTTTGAAATCAATAGGAGATGAAGCGGCTCAGCATCTCAGAGACAGTCCTTATATACAGGAACTCACTGGGTGATCAGGCCCCTTAGATTGCTTATATTTAAGTGTTTAATGAAGCTGGCATATGAAATAGACGTAGGTGAGTGTTTGTGCAGCAATTTGAGAAATGGTATGTATCAAATTGTAGTTGTCACACTAAAAGGTGTCTGCTTCCACAAAGGCCAAGCTGCACTTTAGATCCCTTTTAGCTGCTTGAGTATACCTCTCTGGTAACAAGTTTTGTTACCCTCATCCCTCTCTGGATGGAACCACACAGTCCTACAACTCCTAGAATAGGCCTCTGGGCTGCAGGCTCCCTGGTGATAATATGACAAGCCCAACTGCATTTGGCATCTGGCCTGCCAGCCTTTTTTATCTAGGAGCCTGTGACTACTGGCTGATTAAAGGCTCGAAAAACAGCTTCTTCAAAATAAATTATTTATTCCCCTCAAAATACACAGAACTACGAGAAGTGAGTTAAAAAGTGAGGGGCCTACATACATGCCCATGTCTTACCTAAACTTTATTCTTTCTTTCAGGGCCGGCTCCAGGGTTTTGGCCACCCCAAGCAGCCAAAAAAAAAAAAAAAAAAAAGCAGCGATCGCGATCTGCGGCAGCAATTCGGCGGGAGGTCCTTCACTCCGAGCAGGAGTGAGGGACCGTCCGCCGAATAGCTGGACGTGCTGCCCCTCTCCAGAACGGCCGCTCCAAGCACCTGCTTGCCAGGCTGGTGCCTGGAGCCGGCCCTGCTTTCTTTGCAAGTTTTGAGTAAGTTCCATCCAGCCGAGACTTGGGCTGGGAGAGAGACAGCCAGCCCCTGCAACATACTTTCAGTGTGTCTGTCAGACTTACCTCCAGCCCAGCTGCCTGCTCACCCTCCTTGTTCCTAGGCAGAGGTGTCTTTGCCATCGTGTTCCTTTGATCCCAGGGTCAGGAAAAATAAACATACTAGCCCAGCTGGAGTCAGAGAGGTGGGTATTTCCCAATTAAAGCTCACTCCATTGCTCCCCTAAGGAGCCTTGGTAGCTCTCTGAGGGTACCTTTATCTCTGTCATTTCCTGTTTGTTTTCCTCCTAACATTCTCCTTTCATTTAATTCTGCATAGTCAAAATACCAGGCAGGTAAACTGAGGTACATACGATAGTCATAAAAAAAATAAAATACAGGTATCTCCCTCATTTTCCACAGTAGTAAATAAAGATTCAGGTGTTGCTTTTCACTTAGAGGAATAAATATTTCAATTACACCCTTTGGAGTGATTAAATAAATGCACCCCATCATGACGGGCTGGTCTATTTTCACTGCTTCAGCATTTAGTACTTCCATTACCAATTTCTATTTAGTTTGAACTTGGTGCCTGTCCCCTATGACCTGGATTTTTACTTTGGTAAGCAAAATGTGCAGCCTATGAGGCAATTTCACTGTCAATTAATATTAGAGGCTACGTACCTGAACTCCACCAAATCCATTGGGTGCTAAATACTGTTCACATTCAAGAGCAATGTCAGCCCAACGCCATTCAAACAGGTGGACAATAGACATCTTCCCAGGTTTTGTATTTGGGTTGTATTGCGCCGAACAAAGTCCAATGGCTGCTAGCAGAAGAAAGGCCTTCATGGTTCTTTCCGTAATAGCTTGTGCTCTTCTCATGGATTTTTGTACTAATGCAAGAGGGTAAAGTACATGGTACAAATTACACATTTTAAAAGGCCAACTATTTTTAGCATGTATTTTGCTTAGCTTGCTGTTGTTTTGATTGTTTCGGAATTGCTTATCCGATGAAGCTATGCCACAACCTCTCATGACAACTTTAATAACGTAACACGTTAAGGCTCAGTCCTGGATTACACAAAGGTGTTGTACTGGTATAACTATATTGGTTGAGGGAGTGAGCTTTTTACAGCTATATTTATACCAGTATAATCCCTAATGTGGACACAGATATACAGTACAAAGGTGTGTTATACAGTAAAGCTCATTCCCCGTCCTGTATAGGAATGTTATACTGGTGTTTGTAAGTATAGTTAAATCTGTACTACTTTTGTGTTTAGAGAAAGTCTTAGTGTTTTGTTTTGTGTCTTAATGCTGTCAACAGATTCAATATTTCAAAGGACTGTGGTGTGTGTGTGTGTGTGTGAACAAATACTTATTGTCACAACCAGACTCGAGCACAGCATCAGATAATGCAACTAAATCCTAATCTCCGAGGGTCTCTCAGAGCTGTAGTAGAAATACTAAACATTTGACATCTATCTGTGCTGCAGCTTGATAGCGCAAAATGATGTATTAAATGTACACAATACCTGTTTCTCAGGGTAGACTATGTCATTCATGCACAGTCCTGGGCTGGGAGTGGTGTGGAGCTGTGCTGGCAGCTCTTGCAACGGCAAAGACAGCAGTGCATTGTGGTAGCTATCCCACTGTGCAACTGGCCACAGGGTGCTTTGGGAAAGGTTTACAATGCCTCATGGGGCAGGCACAGCGTCACATGATGCAGCTTTCTCAATCCCATCTTCCATGGGCATCCTACTACATTGCCAGCTGCTTTTCAACTGAAGTGGAGGGGGGTAGGAGAGTCAGAGCCGCCCAGAGGATTCAGGGGCCCTGGGGCAAAGCAATTTTGGGGGCCCCTTCCATAAAAAAAAGTTGCAATACCATAGAATACTATATTCTCGTGGGAGCCCCTGTGGGGCCCGGGGCAAATTGCCCCACTTGCCCCCCCACCCCCCGGCGGCCCTGAGGAGAGTTTTTGACAGGGAGTGTGTGTGTATGGAAGGGGGAACCGAGAGCGTGTCAGCATGCTGTCTTGTAAGTTCAGACAGTGGCACGAAGCAACCAGTCCTGAGGCAGGGGGAGGGGGAAACCCCTGACATCAGCCCCTGCCTCCATCCCTGGGCTCTCTGCACAGCAATCTCTCACACACACACACCCCACACGCCCCCCTCTGGTTCTGTGTTCAACAGCACGAGCATTCCACATTAATGGTTTGCTTTGTGTCCTGAAGCAGATCAGTACAGCACACAAAGGCTGTCAGAAACGGTGCTTTGAAAGGGGAGGGACGCATGTCTCCAGGGCAGCCGAGTTCAAAACAATGAGCAGAGTGGTCACTTGAGGCATTATGACAACTCCTGAGGCCAATTACAGCACAGAAAGCAATCAAATGTCCACACGGGCAATAGAGCACTAGAGCCTCTGTGCAAATAGCCTTACGACTCTCCTCAAGGTGTTTTTTTTGCAGCGCTACAACTGAGAAGTTTCTGGGCACAAAGTGGCTTGGCAGCGTGTACACGTCTGTAGTTTGAGTGCAAAAAGCTGCTTTACTGCGCAGAAACTTGCCAGTGTAGACAAGCCCTAAGGTTTACATCTGAAGTACCAAGATAAAAATAAACATTGACTTGACTTTTGTTCATCTCTGGTGGTTTGAAAGGGAGGTCCAATGGTCTACAATGAAGGTTGAAAATCAAGGCAGGCTCTTTTACACTCAGCTCAGTGCAGCATGTGTTTTTTGGGAAGACTTAAGTCTTCAGGATTTTTGTACCCCCAGTCACACAGCCTTCACTTGTAAACAATGTTGGGTTGGAAAATGCTGCTGAAAACCACATCATGTTACAGACACCAAACAAACTAGTGGAATGGGAAAGGGTCTATCCAAAATGTAAAAAAAAAAAAAGAAGACTTCTACATGACAACCCTCCCTTTGCTTGAAATAAAAATACAAGCGAGGCAGTACTACCTCACCCTTTCTGTGTAGTTGTACTCTTTGGAACTTGTTCAACTGCAAAGTGTGCCAGTTTATAGAGCGCAACTTCTGCTGCCAGATCCTGTTGCCATCAGCTGTTATTGTAATTCACAATCATAATTGGGAGCTGAGCTATTTTGAATGAATCATTTGACAAATTTAGCACAAAAATCAGTTTGTAAGAAGAAAAATAGGCTATCTGTAACTGTTGGGTAGTTTATGAACAAGTTTCAGCCTAGGAATTGTTTATGAACTGTAGTTTGTAGATTCATCATCGTGTGCTAAGTCTGCTTGATCACATAGTATTGTTTCTGTTCCCTGATTGGAGGAGAATGTATGTAACAAAGAGGGAGAATCTGTGATCAAGTCACTGAACCTTTGATTTTCTCTGGAGAGGACAGAAGCAGCTTACGTGGGTGGCAGAATTATGGCATGTGGAATCTTTTTCTTTCCTGGACCTGTGAATCACACCTTGTCTTACACATCACTGCTAGAAAAGCCAGGCAATTCTACACCATGCAATCGGATTTTAAAGTTAAGTTTGTCATTACATTCACATCATAACTGTGAGTTCCACATGTACATGCAATCCTAGCAATCAAGAGTGAGGTTAAAGCATTGACTGGCTATTTAATGTTTGTGTGTGCTGGCTGTGACTATAATTGGTTATTCTGTCCTAACTCCAAGAGAACAGTTACATGTTCTTGGCCATTGCAAAGTGAGTAATCATGTAGGTAAAATGGATAAGACCACACGAAATAGCAAGCTGAATATAAACTTTGCCCTTACTTTCACCCAGTTCAGTTAATGTTTGAAAGGAGGGTCCATTGCAGAGGTTTTCTAGTTCTTTGAGATGAGGTGGAAGATTAGCTTGCAGTAAAGCCAGATCAATTAATGATGGTGATTGTGAAATCCTTCAGTGCACCCTGAGTGTATGTCTACACACTGCAACTAGACACTGGAAGCTGGCCTGTGCCAGCTGACTCACAGGGCTCGGGAAAAAGGGCTGTTTAATTGTAGCATAGATGTTCGTGCTTGGGCTGCAGCCCAGGCTCTAGAACCCTCTCACCTCACAGGGTCCTAGAATCTGAGCCTCAGTGTGCTTTCAGTATTCAAAGAGCAGAATACCACACAGAGGAGCACATACATCAGGCTTGGGGTTGACCCTTTGAACAATCTCATTGACTTCTTCCTGAAAACTCTAGAGAGAGCTAGTCAATTTCCCCCCGGCGACAAGTTAGGGGAACAAGCCTCCCATTCAGTTCCCTGAAAACACCAACAGAGTTAGTGAAAATCCAGACAGTCTTAAAATAAATAAATAAATAAATAAAAGTACGTGTGAGGAAACAGATGCTGATCTAGGTTAGCAGCTCATGGTACCTCACTCACACCCAAGATATCACCTGCTTATTCAAATATGATCAAACACTCAGCTGAGATTTTCTTATTATCTGATATGCACAAATTCAAAGTTGTGGTTCCTACAGTAATTACTTTGAAACAGTGTGTATGCAAACCATAATAAAAAAAAAATAGAAGGCAGCAAAATACTATATAGTCTAAGGGCTTGTCTACACTTACCAGGGGATCGACGAGTGGCGATCGATGCATTGGCAGTTGATTTAGAGGGTCTAGTGAAGACCTACTAAATCGACCGCAGATCACTCTCCCATCGACTCCTGTACTCCACCAGATTGAGAAGCGTACGGGGAGTTGATGGGAGAGTGTCTCCTGTCGACATCGCGTAGTGTGGACCCCGCAGTAAGTAGGTCTAAGCTACATCGATTTGAATTACGCTATTCAGATAACTCATATTGCGTAGCTTAGATCGAATTTCCCCTGTAGTGTAGACAAGGCCTAAGAGAGTTACAGATGCTCTGGAAACATAACACTGGCATTCCAAACTTCCTTCTTAGCTTAGTTTTTGCATTTAATTGTAGAATGCCTTTGTAATTCAGTATGTAAATTTCCAAGCTTTCAATAGTGCTAGCTAGGCACACTCTCCCTTCAATTCAGAGCAAATTTAAGAAAGCAATTGTCATCTGTCTGAGATTAAAACAAGCGACTCTAGTATTTACTAGAATACCACTTTGAGTAACAAAGGAAAAATGGTTACCTATCTTTTGTAACTGTTGTTCTTCAAGATGTGTTACTCATGTCCATTCCATTCTAGGTATGTGCTTGCTCACGTGCACAGTTGTTGGAGACTTTTGCCTTAGTGGTACCCGTAAGGTCAGCTGTGCCACCCCGTTGAGTGCCGCGCTCATGCGTCAGTATATTAGGCACCGCCGACCCTACGCCCTTTCAGTTCCTTCTTGCTGGCAATTCCGACAGAGGGGTAGGAGGGCAGGGAATTGACATGAGCAACACATCTTGCAGAACAGTTACAAAAGGTAGGTAACTGTTTTTCTTTGAGTGCTTGCTCATGTTGATTCCATTCTAGGTGACTCACAAGCAGTATCTGAGGTGGGCTCGGAATTCAGTTTGGCGGTTTGTAGTACTGCTCTACCGAAACCAGCATCATCCAGGGCCTGCTGGGTAAGTGCGTAGTGGGACATGAACTTATGGACAGAGGACCAGGTGGCAGCCCTACTGATGTCCTGGATAGGCACTTGGGCCAGAAACGCTGCCAAAGAGGCCTGCGCCCTGGTTGAGTAGGCGGTTACAATCACCGTGGGTTGCACTTTCGCCTGATCATAGCAGTAGCGAATGCCGGCAGTGATCCAAGAAGAATACTTTGTGCAGACGCTGGGCGACCTTTCATCCTATCGGCCGTGTCGACTTGCAGAATGGCTTGGTCCTTTCAATGCAGAAGGCTAGTGCCCACCTGACGTCTAGGAAATACAGCCTATGCTCCTCCTCTGACATATGCGGCTTTGGAAAAAAGACAGGTAAGAAAGTGTCCTGACTTGTATGAAACTG